AGGCTTCACTTTTTCACAAACAAGTTTGCACTTTTGAGACAGTTTAGTTCAAATCTCATGTTTAAACTGTCTAATTTTCAAGTTTGCACTTGGTGTTTAATGTGACAGGAAAAAACAAAATACATGAGTAATTTGAAACACAGCTGAACCACTTTCATTATTGTGAAAACAGATCAAATCGAAATTAATCAAATTTAGAACTGTATGAATCAAAATCGAATAGATACAGGACTTTGGTGAAAATACCCAGCCCTATTTAAGATTAAAAAACTTTTGCACCTGTCAATAAGCTCCAGTAAGAATTGCTCAAGAGGAAAAGTTTTCACCTGGTTTAAGTTCTGTAAAAAAGAACCTTCTTAAAGGAACCTTTTGCTATCCAATTATTAATAAAAAAAAAATAAATAATTGACAGATTAATCCATTAGCAAAATAATTGTTAGTAGCAGCCCTAGATTGGATGAAACGGACCTCTCAGAATACAAAACCGGGGTGGGCGGTCCATACAGCTAGTGGAGTAAAGCGTGTCCAGGTGGACAGGTACTTGGCGAGCAAGTGTGAGATTTAAACCCTGCATTCCAGGCCTACAGCTCGCTCAGAATGCTAACTGTGCTCTAAAATTGCTGGCAGAAGACACCCAGGTTGTGCATAAACCCACCACTCGTGTTTCGATAATCTGTCCTTACACAGGAAATTCAGCGTGTCAGAACCAGCAGTTACGTCTTGTCAGACGGAGCCCCACTCACACCGCCCAACACTTCACACCTAGCTCTATGACAAATTTCCTTTGAAGCTCTGAGGTGCAAACCTGGTTTTAACCTCTAAAACGGCCATTGTGTCATTACGGTATATAAATCAAACTCTTTTCCCACCTGCAGAGAACCTCTGTCATCTGGATCTTTATGTGAGGCAATTCCAAATAAGTGTTGCAAATGAAGACTTTTAATGAAAAAGTATTAAACAGGTTATTGGATTACCGAAAATATTCACTATCACACTTAAACCCTTTACGACAAACATCTCGTTGATGGGTTTCCACGGGACCGTTTTTTCAAACAAGCACAAAAGTGCAAAGGTTCAAAACTTCATCATCTTATCTGCTTAATTAACATGAATTCCCCAAACAACAGGACATTGGTTCAGCCTGTCCTTCCCTGCTACTGCAGTGAGGTGCTGTCTCATTAAACCAACACCATCTGACTTGGAAATCCGCATTTTCAAATCCAACTCAATCAAATCAGTCCCCTGAAAGGATGGGCTGCGTGTGTGAAAAGAACTTAAGTCGTTCTGTAGTAAACAGAGAAACAAGCAAAAGTCTGCAGTGGTACAAAAACAAACTGCTATGCAGAGAATGCCTTTAGAAGGAGGAACACAGATTTAGAGGAAGCCAAACAAATAATGTTTAACAATAAAACCCAAACTCTTGTTATGATTATCAGCAAGCCAGCCAGCACATAACATACAGGTATTGTTTTCTGTAAACCAGCTTTATTGTTTAAGGAATGCAGATCTTGCATAATTTCCCCGGGAACATTAAAGATGAGAACCAGAACTTTACAGCTCCAACATCTGACGCAAGCTGAAGATTTTAAATAAACATTAGAACCGACTTCCTGGAAAGACGAGCTCACTGATCAAATAATCTCCAC